CTTTCCAAAGAAAGAAGGAGAAAGTCAGCCTCTCCGTCTGTCTCTCTGTGTCTTTCTCTCTCTGTCTCTCGTATTTTGCTATGGCAGCCTGAGCAGACCAGTACAGAGGGTGGTGCTGAGAAGCGTGGTGCTGCTGGAACAAATATCTTAAAATGTGGAAGTGGCTTTGGAACTGGCTGTGGGTAGATGCTGGGAGAGTTTTGAGGTGCACAGAAGCAAAAACCGGGATTGCTGTGAAGGGACTGCTAAAGATGATTCTGGTGACAACTGAGAAAGAAGAGAAATGATTATATTTTTGATACATTTGGTTAAATAATATATTAATTTCATCTGTTTCTTTTTATTTTCTTAATATGGCTACTAGAAAATTTAAAATTACATAACTTTCTTTCATTGGGCAACACTGAAATAGAGCTAACATGTATGAACATGGATAAATATAAAAAAAAGATAATATTGATAGAAAAGTAGGTCATTCAGAGCTGTGTTCACAGGATACCGTTTAAAAATTTTATATAAAGTTTTGGGCTTCCCTGGTGGCGCGGTGGTTGAGAGTCTGCCTGCCGATGCAGGGGACACGGGTTCGTGCCCCGGTCCGGGAAGATCCCACATGCTGCGGAGCGGCTGGGCCCATGAGCCATGGCCGCTGAGCCTGCGTGTCTGGAGCCTGTGCTCCACAACAGGAGAGTCCACAACAGTGAGAGGCCCGCGTACCACAAAAAAAAAAAAAAATTATATAAAGTTTAAAAGCTTGCAAAATAATACTATACAGTATTTATGTGTGTGTGTGGTAGAAAAAGGATAAAAACAGGATGTTAGTGAAATGCCAAATTCAGGAGAGAGTGTACAGGAAGAGAGATACAGGAAATTACAACCGCATCATTAAAAAAACTGAAGAAAAATTTGTATTGTGTTAATACTTGATGAAGGGTGATTGGGTAATGAAAACATATATTTTTTATTTTACTTTTCCATGTACTTAAATTATTTCATAATAAATAGTAAGTATCTCTAATTCTTGATATATTTCTAGTAGAATTTTTCCATTTAACTAAGCGATGGGAGAGCCAGTGAAGTAACTTGTGCAACTGCAAAACAATAAAATAGCTGCACTGTGATTGAGAACCAAGTCTTTCTTGGTCCAAAACTCATAGCCCTCCTTTCTCATTAACCAGATTCTACAGTATAAAGGTAAAGTGTAAACTGAAGCTTCCAAACATGCAGGCTCCTCTGACCTGTCTTTGATTCTTCCCTTCTCCTCTCATCCCAGCCAGGTACATGCACCTCCGCATCCCTGCACACAGACACACCATGCACGAGCATTCATGCACACGTGTGCACATGTGCACACCATCTTTGTGAAAGAATGTGAGTTCCTTACTGTCAGGCTGGAGCTAAGACAGCTAGTGTCTGGTGAGCTGTAGTTCCTCTCTGTGTCCATGTGAGGAAAGTTCCTCCACGTTCATCAGGATTTCAGGCTTGGGGGAGCAGTTCTAAAATAAAATGTGCTGAAGTGTTGCCTTTTGCTCTCTTTTGCTAAAGATATTTGTTATGGCCTTTTGCTTCCTGTTAGAAATTAGAAATGCCTATGTGAAGAATACATGGTTTCCTTTGCTGGTTAAGGCATTAGTTGTCTTTTTGATTGCCTGCTGAAGACATTATTTGTTGTCTTCCTCGTTGTCCTTTACATAGAGATCCTCTTAGGAATCAAGAAAAAAAACTTTCCAGAAAATAAATACAAAATTTAAAAATACAAAATTTAAAGCATTTACCAAATGCTTAATGTGTTAGATGTGATTATTTCTCCAAATTGAAGATGAGTGCACAGGACAGGCATGGGAAAGTTAAATAAATTGCTTAAGATAACCTGCTGTTGAGGGCAGGGCTGAGCTTGAGATGATGTTGGGGTCATGTCTGTGCAATCTCTTTTTTCTCAAATCCAATCCACTTTTCTGTCTCTTCCCACCTGAATACAGGTTTAATGTTGGTGATATTTGTAAGGTTCCAACCTGAACCTTGTCTTCTTACTTTTACATAATTTCCACGGACAGTCTTTTCTAACTCTCATACCTTCATGCACTGTTTCTGTTCTTATGATTCCTGAACTTATATCTCCGTGTCATATCCCTTTCTTAAAGCTCCAGACCCATGGAGCCGCTGCCTCTTGGTCAGTTTTACCTCAACTATTTCATAGGCATTGCAATATTAACATATCAAAGCCATATTTAGTATTAGCAACTATCCCTCTGCAGATATATTGGACATATAATATTTCCTGAATTCCCATTCTTGATAAATGCACCTCTCTTGTTGCTCAAACCAGGTGCTTGGGGTCTCCTTTGACTCTGCTTTCACTTTCATTTCTAACATCTGGGAGTCCTTAAGTATTTTTATATCTCCTTCCTTATGTTCTTTCTAGTCCACTTGTCTCTACTCCCACTTCCCTCACATCTTCTTTGTCTCTTGCTTTAATTATGGAAGAGTCTTCTAGCTAGCCGCTTTCCCTACTTGCCCATAGCAGAGTCAGTTCTTCAGAATGTTGTTTGGATGATCATTCCATACCAACATGTGACTTGGTTAGCCCCTGTTAAAACTGCCCGTGGCTCCCCCAGTGCCTCGGAATAAAGCTGCATGCCCTGCTCTGGTCTGCAAGGTGTTCAACAGCCCTCTCTCTTCTGCTGCTTGTAGATGTTCCTGCATGTGCTCTGTTCTCTCTGGCCTCATATTTGTGGTCTTCCTGTTCCTAGCCCCGAATGTACTTCCTTCTCTCTCTGCCTAATAACCTACACTTAGCATTCAGCTTTAGGTGGCAGATCCTGATTCAGGTGGTAGTTCTTTCCTTCTTCCCTTCTCCCTGTGCCCCACCTGGCTTTGTTTTCCTCTTGTTCCCATAGAGCCTGAACAACACTTCAATCGCAGTACTTCCACCACATTGTTTTATGACTATTTCATTTTGACCTCTCCATCCCCACAAAGCCCTGTGTCCCCTTTGCTTCTGCATGTGAGTCCCCAGAACAGGCCATGTGTAGCTGGTTATTTGTTGACATTTTTCTAGGACAGTGGTTCTCAACTGGGGATGATTTTGTCCCCCAGAGGACATTTGGCAATGCCTGGAGACATATTTGATAGTCATGATTGGTGGGGCAGTGCTAATACATTTAGTGGGTAGTGGCCAGGGATGCTGCTAAACACCCTACAGTGCACAGGACAGGACCCCACGTTATCCAGTGTGAAATGGCAACAGTGCTGAGGTTGAGAAGCCCTGCTCTAGCAGGAAGTGCAAAACTTGAGAGTACTAAAATAAAAGACACTCCATAACAAAAAGATGAAATTAAATTTGGAGTTCTCAAGTAATATATAAAACTTTTCAGTGTTGAGGAACTTAATTTTCAATGTAAACGACCCTGGTTCTTTTTGTGGCCTATTGTTAATATTTATTCGGAAGCTGTGTTTGGGGGGAAACGTGACCCTTGAGCTTATTAATGGGTTAGCAGTATTTAGTAATTAAACACTTTAGTAATGCAGTAATGTAGGCATGCAACTGAGATTGTGAAAAGGATAGTGGAACTAAGCTCTTCTTTTGAGACTTTTTTTCATTTACTTTTTTGTATTCTAAATGTGCCTGGTAACAGGTGACTACCCAAGCTGGTTTTTGGAGGAGATGTGGGGATGGGTGATGTCCTTTTTAAGCTCTTAAAAAGGTTTTAACTATAAAATCCTCAAAAAAGGCCAAATGTGGTAAACCTTTTGCCTTGTGTGTAGATTAGGAAATGATGAAAACCATAGTGCTAACCAACCTCCACACACGCACACACCCACACCCATGCACACACCCACACCCATGCACACACATATCCCCACAAATGATAACCCTCACCCACTTTTATCCTCTTCACTTGTTCTAGCCAAGTGCCTGCTATAATGCCAGTGACACAGTCCATGCTGACCATCAGTAGAAAGGGCGCCTTATGAGGGTCCCCATAGCTACACCATGAATTGACCGGGTAGAGAATCCATTCAACTAAATGTACAATTTACATTTAGTAAATTTAAAATTTAGTGTAGGTATTAAATTAGGAGGGGCTACTGATATACTGGAAAATTAGAATGTTGAAGGGTAAATTGTTGCTGACATTAGAACAATACGGGACTGACTTGCAAAACCAAGTAATGGGAAAATAAAATACCTACCACACTTGAAAGTTTTAGCATGTGTCTGGGCAAAGACAGCAAACATTACAGAAGAATGTTTTCATTCTTTTCTCCAGGATTGGCTGCTGATATGACTTCTGTTTTATAATCTGGTTTTCAAAAAAAATTCTTATTTGGTAGTTCAGAAATTTGAGTAAAAGAAAGAATAGGAAATGTTAGGAAGAAGACTCAGTGATTCATTCTTTAAGTAGTTCCTGTTGATATTAGCAATTTCAAATTAGCCTCTTGAAAATATAATATTATATTGGAATTGTGTGGGAAAAGTCCATTTTTCATCTTTATCATTGGAGACTTCTTTGTTAAATTAAGTGGTTTACACCTGAAGAGGCAATTTTCTTTATAGTTGGCTTTTAACAAATAGTGAATATTATTTACCCCACATTAAAATTCAAAATCAAAACAATACTTTTTTTCCAGTAGGTGTTAGATTACAATGACTAATGGCTATTCAGGTTGGTGTTAGGAGTTCAGTTTTTGAAACTGACATATGTGCGGCACATTTCTTTTAGTTTATTGAAGGAAGATTGAGATATTTGTACTGAATTTGGTGGATTCTGTGAGATAGTGCCTGGCTTACAATTGATTTAATCTCTTGTCTTTGGGTATATGGCTTACTTAGTTTGGATTTTGTGTCAAAATAGAAGTTTAAGCTACAGATACTATATCTGCAAAGTTATTTCAATGAATATAGTCATAAGGGAATAGAATAATAGGCATGTATAAATGTGAATTTTAATAAAGAGGCCTCCAAATTTAATTGCATTTCTCTTAATTTTTTTTTTTTTCAGACAAATCCTACAGAAATTTTAGAGTATTCATCAGATAGTGAAAAAGATGATGAGTCAGAGAATGTCTTGTTCATTGATTCAGAATCCTCTCACAAATACCACGTGGATTTCGGATCAGATGGAAGACAGGTTATGGAGAGACCGATAAACCCTAGGGTAAAATCTACAGAGGCCATTTTGCATACACCTCAGAAAGAGACAAAGCTTCCCAAGACTCCAGAAAATTCAGCAAAGAAGAAGAAGCTTTTAAGGTTATATTACACCTTTTTAAATACTTTTTTTAAAAAAAGTTTTTCTCTTTCTTAAAAAGCCCAAATACCTGCAATGTTAATTTAAAAATACTTATTTACTTGGGAAGGAAGATTGACAGAATAGAATTATAATTCTGATAAGCAGTTATGGAGTCCTAATTTCTGGAGATTGTTTATGGAATTGTTCATCCAAGTTGAGCATTCACTGTTTCAGTCATAACCAGCTTATGTGACTGCTTTCCTTAATGGAGATTGGTTGTTTGGGTTTATCAGATTTTATTGAGCACCCGTGTTCCAAGTGCTATCTTAGACAATTAAGACAAGTAAATGACTGTTCCTGTTTTTGAGTAAATTATGTCTAAAAGAGAGAAATAGAAATATAGACTATTGAGATTACTTTTGTGATTGTGGTTGGCCAGGGAAACACTTAGAGATGCAAAGACTTACGGGCAAGGATTCATGGGCAAGAAACTGGCTGGTGTGTGTGTGAGGAACCATAGGGCCCAGGTCACGGAGGGCCCAGCAAGACGTGTGAAGGGGCCTGGGGTGTGCCATGTAGGGGGACGTGTCCCAACCCTGCGTTGTACATCATCTCTTTGTGTTTTAAATAAGAACAAAACAGTGAAAACAAAACCCCAGTGAAAGTGAGAAGGAGAACTTGTGGGAAACAGTGCCACAAAAGCAGACTCAGTGGACAGCTTCAAGGAAAAAGGAGTATAGTAGAAAGTGTAAACATGGCGATGAAGAACAGGGTTTTAGATCTGTTTAGGGTATGTCTGCGTCAAGGAGGGCAAGTACGATGCACACCAAGGAGAGCCCAATGACAGTGTCGGACAGTGTTGGTGGACTGGTCGGGGAGGAGGCGAGGGGCTCGAGTTGTGGAGATGGTGCTGTGACCCCTCTGCTAAAAGCTGGGATTCAAGGCAGGAGAGGGGTGGGGAGTTTAGGTTGCAAGTTTGATCAGGCTTGATTGGGATCCATTGTCTAAAGAGATCTCAGAGAAAAGGTGAGATGGATTTAGAGAATAATAGGGAAGACCCAGTGGAGGCAGAGAGGTTAGGAATAATTACTCTCAGTGTCCAGGAAAGGAAGTGGGAGAGGGAGGCCTGTCTTGAATAAAGGAGTGGAGAGGAGAGTAAAAGGATGTGACCGAGTCTAGTGGGATGGACGTAGCATGGTGAGTCAATTGATGCCTGTTCACTGTATTTTTTTTTTTTTTTTAACATAAAACAAGACAGAAGGCCTTATGCCCGAAGTGAAGAGGTTACAGCCTCAAATGAATATGGTGATGGTTTGTAATAGTCTCTGGAGAAAACAGGAAAGGAAGCAAATTAAAGGGATTCGAATGTCTTTGTTGAAGTTGATCCTTTGCAATTAGAGAAGGTCATGTTCCCAACCCTGTTGGGGGCCTGCTGTGTGCCAAGCACTGTTTCATGTCCTGGAGGCACAGCAGTGAACAAAGGCAGTGAAAGCTCTACCTGTCCTGAGGGGAAGGCTGATGAGGAGCCAAGAAGTAAAGTAGACGTCATGTCAAAAGGAAATAAACTGTACAGAGAAAAAGCAGAAAAAGAGGGACAGATGGCCAGGAGGAAGGGGAGGACGTTTCTATTTTAAACAGGGGATCAGGGAAGCCTCTGAGAATGTGACTTATTGAGCAGCTGGAGGAACAGAGCTGACATTTCCTGAGTTGAGGTAGGAGGCGGGTGAGGGGATCATATGGTTTGGTTTGGTTTTCCTTGGTGGGAATATCATGAGGCTTTTTTTAGGGAGATGAGGTTATTAGTCTTTTGCTTTCTCTGTACATTGACTGTACAAGTTCTTTTCACAGTTACTTGGGGTTTGAGTTTTTCATACTTCCAAACAAAAATTGGAGTTTCCCCACCATCTTTGCTGTTTGGCATCAAATGCTTTTATACTTGTATGCATACATTTTGGGGGAGTGTATAAATGTTTATATTTGTGTGGTCAATTCTGTAGGTCGGTCGTATTGTGTCAAGTTGCCTCCCAATTACTTTTTAAACATAGGAAGTTCTGTATCCTTAGTAATAGTAATCTCCTTTTATACATATTGTGTTATCTTCTTTCAGTTTTATTGAGATTTAATTGACATAGAGCACTGCGTAAGTTCAAGTTCAAGCATAATGACTTGTATATATTGTGAGCAGTCATTTACTTGTCTTACTTAATTGTGCGGAAGCTTTTTAGTTTGATGTTGTTCCACTTGTTTATTTTTTATTATTATTTTTTTGCGGTACGCAGGCCTCTCACTGTTGTGGCCTCTCCCGTTGCAGAGCACAGGCTCTGGACACGCAGGCCCAGCGGCCATGGCTCACGGGCCTAGCTGCTCCGTGGCATGTGGGATCTTCCCGGACCGGGGCATGAACCCGTGTCCCCTGCATCGGCAGGCGGACTCTCAACCGCTGCGCCACCAGGGAAGAAGCCCCTCACTTGTTTATTTTTGATTTTGTTGTTTGTGCTTTAGGTGTCATATCCAAAAAATCATTGCCAAGACCTATGTCATGGAGCTGTTTTCCTTGATTTTCTTCTAGGAGTTTTATGATTTCATGTCTTACATTTAAGTCTTTAATCCATTTTGAGTTAATTTTTGTGAATGGTGTAAGATAGGGTCTAGTTTCATTCTTTTGTATGTGAATATCCAGTTCTCCCAGCACCATTTATTGAAGAGACTGTCTTTTCTCAATTGGGTGTTCTTGGCCCCCTTGTCAGATATTAATCGACTGAGTATGCATCGATTTATTTCTGGGCTCTCTTTTCTGTTCCATTGGTCTATGTGTCTGTTTTTATGCTGGTACCATACTTTTTTGATTACTGTAGCTTTATCTTATAGCTTATCTTGAAATTAGGAAGTGTGATGCTTCCCACTTTGTTCTTAATCAGGATTTCTTTGGCTGTTTGGGGTCTTTTGTGGTTCCATACAAATTTTTGGATTTTCTTTCTACTTCTATTAAAAATTCCACTGGACTCTTCCTAGGAATTGCATTGAATCTATAGACGGCTTTGTATATTATGGACATTTTAACAGTATTAATTCTTCCAGTCCATGAACATGGGATATCTTTCCACTTATTTGTTTTGTCTTCTGTTTCTTTTATCGTGATTTTATATATTGAAAATCCTAAAGATTCCACCAAAAAACTTAGATCTAATCAACAAATTCAGTAAAGTTGCAGGATACAAAATTAACACACACAAATCAGTAGTGTATCTATAGAGACACTAATAATCCCATTTACAATAGCATCAAAAACCATAAAATACTTAGGAATAAAGTCAGCCGAGGAGGTGAAGAAGCTCTACAGTGAAAACTACAAGACATTGATGAAAGAAATCATGAGGTTTTTGACTATGTTCAGTTAGCCATTATATATCTGAGTAGGAGTACGAGTCTGGACTTCACATGACAAGGTTGGTGCTGGATGTGAATTTGTAATCTTCAGTGTCCAGATGGTTTTTAGGGCATGAGCTGGGTCATTTCCTAGATCAAATGCACACTGAAAGCAGAATCTGTCACAGAATCTGTGTCTTAGGCACTCTGCAGTGGTTGAGTCACAGAGGAAGAGGCTACTGAGGGAGGAAATAAATCTAAGAGAGCATGATGTCCTGGAAAGCAGCCAGCTATGACAGATGCTGCTGGGTTTGCACTGTGGAGGACAGGGAATATAGAGCCTTCTCAGTGGAATGGTCAGGCAAAGTCAAATTGCTGTGGATTTAGAGAGAATGGAAGGAGAGAAACTGAAGACAGCATGCATAGAAAATTCATTGTGTGTTTTGCTTTAAGGGATGTAGAGAACTGTTTGCTAATTCAAAGGAATTTGGAGATTGAGATTTCTTTTTTATGAGTGGGAATGAGAGCAGATTTTTTTATATATTGATGGGAAAGGTCCTCAGCAGGGGAAAGAGACGATAACTGTTGGAGTTGTGTCTGACTTGGTGGAAGGGGTTTACAGATGGAGGGGTGTCCTGGGTTAGGAGCACAGTTAGTCCATCCACGGACAGGTGAGAGGGCAGAGTCTCTTCAGGTGCAGGTAGATATATGTGGCAGTGGGAACTCATGTAAGTTCTTGCTGATCACGTCTACTTTCTCGGTGAAATGGGAAGTGTCTTCAGCTGAGAGTAAGGAAAAGGAGATGATATTGGAGGAATGAGGAGAGAGAGTAGATGACATGGTCATGTAGTGGGGGAGTGAATGAACTAAGGAATTGCAGTAGGATTGTTTGGCAGGAGTGGTCATCATGAATTGAGTTTGAGACTGACTAGTCAGCATGGATTGAACCGTGGGGCTGCAGATGTGGAACAGAGTGTGGGATTGTCCACTGAGTATGATGAACCCCGTCAGTAAAAGTCCTGAGAGTGATTGTGATATTGGACCATGAAATCTCGACTGGGTAAGGTCAGAATGAGAACATGCAGGGTGTAGAGCACAGAGAGATGGGGTTGTACCATCTGATCGTGGACTGGGGAGAGGTTGGTCAAACACTTCTGAAGTCATGACACTAGAGGTCATGAGCTGAACAGGTAAGAATGACTGGTGCTCAGAAGTGAATTAATGGAGGGAGGCGGTTTGTAACCTTGAGGTTTAGAGGATGACCATGGGCGATGAGTGGCTGAGGTGAGGTGGAGGACACGCAGTCTTGGAGGAGAGGACTTGAAGGAATGAGGAGGTTGAGGTATGAGAAGCCTGGCAGGGAACTGATATCGACAAGAATGGTGGCCTGCAGCCAGAAGATAAGGCCTCCAAAGAGTTGCTGGCACAGCTGTGGAGGTGCCTTCCCTGGGGTGAAGATGGTCTCTGTCCTGTCCTCCCCGCCTCCTGGAATATAAGGGGGGTGCAAGATGGCCCGGAATCCTCAGCGAGGAGCAGGCCTGCCCCTTCCAGGCCCTTCATGCCTGTCAGGTGGAGGGGAGGGAGAAAAGACAGCTGCTTTTTAAGGTCCCTGCCTCAGGGGAGGAGCAGGAAGGTAAAGAGAACATGCGGAGAG